TTTAAAGGTTAAAAAAAAAAAAAAAAAACTCCACAACATCATGTAAAACAAAAAACAAATAAAGCAAAATACACATGTGAATCTCATATTATTGAAACACTTCGGATGTCACACTATTCCTGTCTTGCACAACATACACGTTACATGAATTCTTTTACCTGTCCAACCCATTGAGAAAGGGGGGACCAAATTTTGACATTTTGATGTCAATGACAAACACACTTCCCCTGACACCTTATAAAAGACCAGAGATATTGGGGATTGTTTACATGAATCCTGTTTTCAACATCTAAAATTACAAAGGTTCAACTTGTTTGCAATTACTTCGGTCCATGTGATTTTAAGACAACCTATTCTTCCAATTTTACAATCTAAACGGTCTATCACCTTTTCCATTGGTGCATCTAGCCGCTTGCATTGAACGTGCCCAAACCATTTCAATTGGTTTCAGCTATCTTCAAAGGGCTCAGCTTAACCAACTCACAACATTCTTTTCTTCTATAATACAGCAATTCCTTCTTAACATTTTTATCCCAGCCACACTCAATATATGTCTATGTTTTCTAGTAGCTCATCATTTGATCATGTATAAAATCAAATTTCACATAGCTGTCTTGCAGAATTTCCCTTTTTAATCTTAGACATCGTCGATCGTTAAAGTTCAAAGTACAAGTTCTTTGAGGAACATCACCTCCAATATGTCCCTCCCCATGATTAATTGAATGTTAATTATCTAAACATTCATGTACGGGTAGTTCATGCCTTTCTATCTCTATCAGCTCTCTACAAGTACAGCATTTTCAAAAATTACATTCAATGTACTCATCTTACAGTTTAATTACGTTATAATCTTTCTATTTCAAAAGGCTTTCTCCGCAGATCTAATTTAGAAACGATCGTGTCCCATCCACTAAGATGACAACATCATCCATAAAAGAATACATCACTATCCCCCCTCCTAGGTATCCTTGGTCAATTTATTCATAGTTAAAACAAACAAATACAATCTGAAAATGGGCCCTGCACAATCTTCAATAACCAAAACCTCACCGCACTCTCCTTGAGTAGCTTCCATTGCGGCCATAGTCCTGACGTACCTAACCATTATTATATCAACGTACCCCATTTTGACACTTTTTTTTGTTCTCAAACTCAAGATTTAAGGTTATCCCTTCCACCACCACCCTATGTCTACCTTGACCAAAGGGACTAAAAGCCTCAGAAATCAGGTGCGACTTAGACTTGTAGAAGACATTTTCATAATAGACGAGGGAATAGCCAGTAATATGTACTTCCATGTTTAGAGGCTCCAATACTCTTCTTGACAACAAATAGCTTAGACAGTTGATATCCAAGTCACAAACCTAAACTGATTCTCTAAAACTGTTGTTTGATTCCCTCATAAAGCTCCAAAGCGAAACTCAATATCATGATCCTGCTATTTAAATTACAACTACAATTTCCAAAAGTCTCAAGCTAAGAGTCCTCCCACAATTTCAATTTATCCATTAACTTAATTTTCTTTCATGTGCAACATCTTTAATAATCTAAACTTTAGCTTACTTTGTAGTGGCATGCTCCCAAACCAAATGCGAAGTTAATGACAACTTTTGACCCCCTCCAAAAGACCTAAAATTAACAATCCATTGGTGTAACACTTAGAATTACACCTGTACGGAGCATATAATTTACGAGTATCACGTGGAAGGAAATTTCACTCGGGATATATAGCATAATATGTCAGAGAGATAATTTTTTCCCAGATTTGCTATTGAGATTTGCAAACCGGTGAAATAAGACTTAAGAAAGCAATTTTAATATAATAGTGTTAGCAAACAATTAGATCAAGGAATTGGAGTGATCTTCCAGCAAAAAGAGCGTTAACAATTACCTGAAAATATTGTGTATGGATAAGCTTCGTCAATATTTTCCTGAACCGTAAACTTAAGGTGCCTGTTATATATTTTGAGGTAGAATGCAAAGTTGACTGGAGGAAACAAAGTAAAATATTTTCAAGAATAAGACGGAAAAAAGCTGGTACACGTCGGAGAAAAGCAGCACGAAAAAGGAATCCTTGGACTTTAGCTAATCTGTTGCTAACAGCAGTCCGTGAAACCTACAAAAACAAGAACAAGCATCAAGACAGAACAACTGAACCAATAACAGCACATTTATCTTAAAGAAAGTTTAGGATGATAAATGTATGAATCTGTCCCAGGAAAAGGTTAAGGCACAATCCAAACATGAAAAAGCATTATTCTTCTTTTTTTTTTTAACATCAATAAAATTTTAACAGTATCAAGCACTCGGGGAATGAACTAAGACAATTCTCATGAATAAAGAAAGACAAAATCTACTGAATTAAAAGAATAATTATAAAAAATGACCATAAATCATGGTAGATTCAGTTACAGAAAGTACAGAACATGAATAAAAAATGATTATAACACAAATCGCTGCTAGGCATACTTGACTTCTTGAATGAAGAACCTTACCGCTATAGCCACCAAAGACAAAATATCTATTGCACCCATTCGACCCAAGCGAGATAAAAGAATAGCAGCCAAAACTTGGAGAGACCTCAAACTTCCTCTCTTTTTCCTACTCTTTGTTACGTTATTATCCTTTCCAATCAAATTGTTTGATTCTACATCATTGTCTTTGGTTCCATTGCAGTGACCCAAAGAATTCTGACTTCTACACCTATTTCGTGATTGCATGTATGCAGCAGCAGTTCCACCGGCAACAATGATGCCAGTTGCAAGAAGTAGCGTTTTCCTGACAGGGAAAAAAAAAGCTATTATGATACTGCCACTTCATATGGGGGGAGGTATTGGAAGTTGCAAACCAAAATCAACATCATAACATATTGCCAGAAGAGTTTCGAGCTGCAGTCATTATGGAGGTCCATCCTCGATCTTCAAGGAGAGTAAGAAACCAAGTCTCATTGACAGACATAATTAGATGAGGAGATTTTTAATTTTTTAAATGAATAGCTATTTCTGAAAATGTAAACTACATCGTTGAAAGAAAGTTTGGCGCCTCTTCCATAGTGATCTCTTCCTTGTTTCTTTTTCTAATTGGCGTGCTTTTACTCTTTTCTAATGTAATATATCTATTATATTATAATTTTGTTCCACGTTGGGGCTGAATGGACATCTAATGAAGGTCATCGTGGTGCTTTCATTTCTACCTTCCTTGTAAAGAAACGTGCTAATCAAGGTTAGGAGTAAACGAACTAAAACCATCAGCTATTGTAATTTATTATTGAGAATACTTATATACAATGGAAGCATTTGGAGAGAATATAACAAACATAACAAAAAGTTCTTAAGAGGCCTCCTATCAGACTAGGTAACAAGTTTGCAGCAGGACTGGTATCAGCAGATTTACCATTAGAGATGAGTTTCACCTGTAGATATAGAATACACATTAATAAACGGAGAAGTGTGTTAATCAGCTTCTCCCATGATCATGTGTCCAAGATTGGTTTCAGTTTCACTAATGGAGAAGTGTGTTAATTAGCTTCTCCAATGATCATGTGTCCAATATTGATTTAAGTTTCAGTGATAGCAATGATCGTTTAACCATCCAAAGAATATAAACCCCTAATGTGCTGATCAGAACTCTCTTAATATAATTCTTTCAAATCAATCAGATGCTCGTATTCAGTAATAATAGTAGCAACTAATCAGCTGCAAAAAGGGGAAAGAGATCTACATAAAAAAATATCACAGAGTTAATATTATTTACCTCCTCGAGGCCAAAAGGCCCCGACCACGTTCAGTTAACTGTAGAAGCTGAAGAGAAGGCATTTTTAAAGGTGGACCTCCTCTGGAGAATAGTTTCAGCAGCTGAGAATACCGTCTTCTTGATATCTAGAGAAAAATTGGTTTCATCTTATTATGCACGGAAAATTTATGGAAGTGCTAAGTTTGAGAACTAAATTGATGCAGATGTCACACATCAAAACATGAACAAACAAAACAAAAAACAGAAGTTCTGGATAAATGATAGTTTAACAGTGTAATTATTCAGGTGCAGCAATAGAAGAGTATAGCAAAAGCACAGCGAGCTCAAAAAACTAAATCTATGGAATCATACCATGTGTTGTAATAGATTCAGGAAAAGGAAGCACTATCCTCTCTTTAAAGTTCGAATCTACTCAATGTTTGAAAAGTTCTACTTTTATCTAAGTGGTCGTATTCTTTGTTCCATGCTACGGAGCATTATATTTTCAGTCATTTCTTCTTAACAAAAAAAGTATGCTTGGGCAAAAAATTTTTACACCAATAGTCAAAACGATTTTGGGTCAAGCACAAAACACTAGCTCTTTGTGTAATCAAATGTCAAAAACTGTGAGCGAACAGAACATAATACTAATATATAAAAAATTCAATACTCTGGACAAAGCGTGTATTTATTTCAAAATATCTACCACAAACTTCTCCCTGGTTCACCAATGTGATCCTTTTCATTCAATCTAACTAGTGCCTTCCATATGGCCTACACCTGTGTGGTATAATAGTCTTCTTGGAGCCAGCCTTCTGGCTCATTCAGATGCATACAGCTTCATATAATATGTTCGGGTTACATAGTGGTTTGTCACTCCAATATTATTGGCATCAGCTATACCATTGTATCATGCAACAGAATTAGGATTCAGTGATTATTTCAAAGGCTGATAATCGATGCCCATATATTCCATGCAGATTTGTAGAAAATACAAGACAATTAACAAAGGAAAATGAAAGATTTCTTTCATTTCCAAAGCTCAGAAATCGTCTTTCCTTGTAAGGCAGGTGAAGGCAAGTCTTTTCTATTACTTCCATGAGCAGTTCAGAATTAGTTCGATTCTTTCTATTGTGGCCATTCCCTAGCATACTTCTCTTCGTGTAATCAATTATAGAGACACAAATTTTTGGAAGTATAAAAATCACGAGGATGAATTGTCCACTCAACACTAAAGATCTCATATCTCTGGATCCGCCAAACAATGACACAATTTGACTCGACAGCATCAAATTTATTATCAGGAGAAGAAAATTACAGCAAAATAAAAAAAAGCATCGTAAACATTCCATTCTACAATTTGATTCGTCACCGTGACATTTATATAAGAGGTAATCTTTTGTCTGCCACCAAAATATAGAATTAGTTTATTGATTTAAAGTACATGAATGCTTTTCTATCCTCCTCAGAAACATTCACGGCATTCTATGCATCAATTCAATTATCACTCGCTCAAGTACCCATCCAATTTCTACTTCTCAAAATTACAAGGGTTTCTGCACAAATCATTTCGAATCAATGTCTCAAAAACATAGAAAATATTAAGGGATGTGTAACTCATCATGTAAACATTGTAAAGACATGGATCCAGGACCTTTTAACCAGGGTGCCACAAACATATACGAGTCCTCAACAAAGAAATAGAAAATTGGCTTCAGGGAGAAAGGTAGCTACACAAATAGAAGGGCTTGGCTGCAAATATGACAGATGCATGCTTTATAACTTGATTATAAAAAGAAAATGCATGTATGGAAGTTTACCGAATATAGCAATCTACTAACTTGACCAATCCACGGCACAATGCAAGTAACATGACTCATTATAAAGGGCTAGATTGTTACCTTTCAGAGATAAATCATGCTAACCATGTTCCATCATTACCAGAAATGGAAATGTTTCTTGGATATTGAAGAATATGTTTTTGAAAATCAAACATGCCAGTTCTTCTCATGCTTAGAAGATCTCACAAAATTAACATTCCTCAGAGCAGTTAAGCATAACAAATCTGCAAATCAATAAACGATATGCTTTAGAGCAACCAAGCAAATTAAAATAAAAATATATGATGTTTCTCTAATATACGAGACTACATGAAGCCAAAGTTCATGGTCAACAAACACCTAAAGCGCCTACATTACACTTGCAGAAGAAATAGGGGTTGACATAGAAAATTAGTTAGATAAGCAGCCAACTAGCATATCATAGAAAATCTGGACAACAGCATAAAACTTCGAAACTAAATGAGTTTGAGATTCCAGATTTCCGCAAAACCACAAAAATAACCATTTGATTGCATGCGCCGTCCACAATTAAAAAAATGAGAGAAAGCAAGAAGATAAAGAGTCAATGTAAAAAATAAAATTCCCTCCCTCAAAAACCAAATTTTGGATTTCTCAATGCTGATGAAATAAAACCATATACATCTGAAATTTGATTATCCCTTTGTTTTATGACTTCATCGTCCTTTTTCCTTTGACTATGTTTAAACAAAGCTTTTCATTTCTTTGACATCTATAGTATACAAAAATGCATCAAACTATAGAAGCCTTTCAAATCGGGTAAACGATTTAGTGGAACAGTGTGGACTAGAATACAGACACCGAAAGGAGTACAAGATAAAATTCTTCGTATTCGTCAATATAAGCAAGAAGATAACTTTCAACGTCCAGACATCGTATGTGCCTATAGATGTGCCATCTCTAGTGAAAGATTATGGAAAAACACAATAGGGGCCATAATCATTTAATACAACATGGGGGTTTCAGATTTTTCTATATTTATCATATCCTTAAGTTCAAAAATTCCTATGATGCTTTTACCCATTTTAATACAAAATTAAGTTGGAAAAATCAAAAGAGAAAAGCAGATGGGAAATATAAATATATAACATTTTTAAGGAAGAAAAAGAAATGAAACAGCCACTTCATGTTATTCCATTAGTGCCTTGTGCAATCATGCAAAAAATATTTTTTTTGATAGGGGGGATCATGCAAAAAATATAAGATGAGGAACATTCAGAGTATGCTTGCCCACCAAAAATATCTCTCTCTCCTCTAGGATTGACAATCTTACTAGAGTACTGTATCCATACTTCACGATGGCAACTCATTCTTCACACCCCAGGCCCAGGTGAAATGTCAAGCAAGCCATTAAAGTGCTCCAGTTAAATGTACAGAAGATAATCACCTAGCAAGAGTGGGCTTAATTTTCGACTAGTATTTTTAAGTCCACAACTAAAGTAGTATGCGCTCCAATTAGAGTGTACAGAAAACAAGGCCCCGATGTGGGACAAGTTGGACATTGTGTTACAGAAATAATTACTCATGAAAGTGCACATTATAGGAAACAAAAAATGAAATTCTTTGGCATTCTAATGCTTCAAGGTCCTTGGTTGCTTTCTTATTCATAGGGTTGCAAAAAGTTCTTCTCACCAGGATATTTGGATATTGATACATCTGAATTCGGATAAACCAAGGAATAAGCTGTCACCAAAAATGCGCGACTTTCTATTTCCCGTATTTTTATTCATCAGATGAATCAATTCACTTTATATAAACTGAAAATACTAATGTGACTCGCCATTGTCCTTTTACCTATCCAACAGATATCATTGAAGAACACATTCACTCTTTTATTCCACAGTTCAATAACGCTTGGTAGCCACTAGACAGGTATCTTATAAATCAGCTAGCACTCTCCTTTAATAAAGGCAAAGACAGACAAAAACAAAAATCAAGCGTCGCCATGAATCTGTAACTGTAATGTAGGCATTTATTTGTTAGACAAATTAATGCACCTAGAATGCTATTGGTAGCCAAACTAGATGAGGAGAAATTTCTTCCAGCCGTTTTGTTTGGTTTAATGTTGTAAGAACTCTTGACACATGATCTCTCTATTTTTGTATTATGCTGAACATTTTCATCTAAGCCCCCTGTTTGACATAGATTAAAATCGGATTTTTAGTAAATTTTAATAGAAGTTGATAAACTGCATAGTTGAAAAGTTGTAGGTCTCAGGAATTGTGTGGTTAAAATTAATTGTTGACTTTAACTTGAGATTTTAATTTGGTTTTAACTTAGACCGAGCATGGGCTAAATTGGATTTTCATTTGCCACAATCAAACCATTTGCAGCTCAACAGCAACTGTATAGAGAACTTTCAAGACTGCAAGTTCACGTCTATCTAACAGTGCTGAGCTTGTTGTATTAACATTCTGGTCAAGAAAATTCATTTTTAATCTTCTTCATGAATGTATATAATGACAAAGTGCTAAAAGTATGGACCAATATAAGTGTTTCATGGCATATACAGTAATTATCCACACAAAAGTTGCTGAAGTAAACACAGGTAAATAGATTTAATAAAGAACAATCCATACAATGGATGATCCTAACTTTAACTTGGCCTTGAAATGACAAACAAGTGTCACTAGTACTAGAACCAGACAATGATTTACACTTTTAGAATCCCACCTTCTTTTGATGAACAAAAATCCAATATGGCAAGCTCGTCCCTATAAATTTTTAAAAAAAAAAAAAAGGATCTGGCATTTAAGTATTTAAGCTGCCCAGCTAATAAAAATTCTTAAGACATGAGAGTGATGCCCATCTTAATTCCCAAGAAACTTAAACATTAGCAGCATAATGTTTTATTTCATGCTACGTTACTTCTAGTTACTTGAACTTATCTGGCATTATGATTTCACGGTTGTGTAACAAACTCAATTAAACTGAAAAGCAGAAGGAGAGTAGCCTGTGCATTTTTTGAGCAGCCTTGGAGTGTTTCCATTAATAATTTCAAACAGTAATTCATACTTCAAAACTAATCTTACATCAACAGCAAAAACTCACCCCAATTCTATCCCAACACTACAACACAACTGCAAAAATACTAATTATTTCTAAATATTCATAATCTTAAACAACTGGTATGGACGGTTAATTGTTTCATTACTCAAACAAAGCAATCTATAATCTTTACTCACTCGATTAAAAAAGTGCTCCTATTTTTGTTTATTTTCCAG